ATCCCTCTCCTTTCCTCTCTGTGAAAAATCAATAAAATATATTTAAAAAAAAAAAAAAAGAAAGAAAAGAAAAGATACTGGCTGCGAAAACATATCAAACACCACCATGAGGCTGCAATCAGGCAAATCCAGAATGTAGGAAATTTCTACGAGACAAGTAACACCAGACTTTTCAACAAACAAAAGGCATGAAGACATTAAAGGGTGAGGGAAGACGTGTTATTGCGGTTATGCAAGAATTAAGAGACCTATGAAGCAAATGTCTTGTTTGGATTCTGGTTCAAACCAAACCTAAGAAAGCATTTCGCGATAAATGGACGTAGTCTGGACATTAGGTGGGAGTAACTGTTCGTTTTGTCAGATGTGATAACTGAACCGTGATCACATTAAAAAGCGATCTTTATCTGCTAGAGACACAAAATGAATTATGTTGAATTTGATTAACTCATTACAATGAACATGTTTAAATATAATAAGTTTTGAAGGTTGATTAAAAGGATGATTACACCCTAACTGAATCTGGTTTATAAGTGGAGCAGCCAAGTTCTGCTGAGTCCGAGAGGCCGGGCTGACCTCTCTTCCCTGGACACGCAGGGCGGGAGGGGTCTTGTTCTGAGAGTCGTGCTGCACCCAGTGAGTCCACAGAACATTCAAATGAACTTGAGGGTACTGAAGCAGTCAATAGGGGCAAGTGTAATTAAAAAAAAAAATTAGAATCCCAGGCAACAAATGCAGAGAGAATGATAAAGTGTAGAAATCACCATTTTGCAATTCCTAATGAAGTAGTGGGTGTAGGCAATGAGCAATGGCTGCTTATACTTTTAGGACAAAAGGTTGGTGGGGAATTTTAAAATGGACAGCTGGACCCAAAGATCAATTTAAAATCTTTAAAAGTGGGACAACCTGAGATTCTATGTCTCCTGAGATGATACCACAAGGGCACACAATACCGCCTATGACATATTCTTGGGGGGGGAGGGGGGAAAGAACCCGAGTTTAATTAAGAAGTAGTGATCTAACTTTGTGTCAAAGGAAATATACTGCCTGGCTGGCGTGGCTCAGTGGTTGAGCGTTGACCTATGAACCAAGAGGTCACGGTTCGATTCCTGGTCAGGGTACATGCCTGGGTTGCTTGCAGCTCCATCCCCAGTGTGGGGTGTGCAGGAGGCAGCCGATCAACGATCCTCTCTCATCATTGATGTTTCTATCTCTCTCTTTCCCTCTCCCTTCCTCTCTGAAATCATTAAAAATATATTAAGAGAGAAAGACACGGGGGAGAGACCAAGATGGCGGCATAGGTAAACACCGCAGACTGCTGCCGCAAACAACCACTTCAAAAATACAACTAAAAGACGGAACGGACATCACCCAGAACCACAGGAAGGCTGGCTGAGGAGAGACTCTTCAACTAGAAGGAAAAATAACAGCACACCGAGGCTCAGAGGAGGCGCAGTGTGGAAAATACTCAGGTGCGGAGGTGCGCGCGCAAAGCGGGCTGGTGGCTGAGAGCGCGGTTGTCGTTTTCGGTCAGGGGGGAGTCTCAGACTCTGAGCTCCAGATACGGGCGAATCGCTGGGGACTCGGACCCAAACGGGAGAAGCGGGAGTGTCTGGCATCAGTTGGAAGGCAGCTTTCCCTCCGAGGTTTGCAGCGGTTCCGGGGGTTCTGAGAAGCAGAGCCTCTGGGAACAGGACTGAGGGCACCATAACGGCTCCCTCCGCCCGCCCTGTTGAGCCCGCCCCGCCCAAGCCCTGCGCAGAGCCATTTGCCGGATCGCCTCAGGCAAAGGCTAGATTAGCACCTCCCCAGAGGACAGAAGTTTTCCGCGGCAGACACAGCTGATTCACACAGCCAGTCGGCCTGGTGGTCAAATCCCTCTAGTATTAACTACAACAATCAAGGCTCAACTAGAACAAGACTGCGCACAAAGACCACTAGAGGGTGCACCAAGAAAGCATAAAAAATGCGGAGACAAAAAAACATGACAGAAATGGAGGATATAGAGCTAAAAATCGCAATTTTGAGGGCTTGCAAAAATGTGCTAGAAGCTGTCAATAAACTTGAGGAGAGAGTCACGAAAACTAATGAGACCCTCGATGCTATGATAAAGAACCAACTAGAAATTAAGCATACACGGACTGAAATAAAGAATATTATACAGACACCCAATAGCAGACCAGAGGAGCGCAAGAATCAAGTCAAAGATTTGAAATGCGAAGAAGCAAAAAACACCCAACCGGAAAAGCAAAATGAAAAAAGAATCCGAAAATACGAAGATAGTGTAAGGAGCCTCTGGGACAGCTTCAAGCGTACCAACATCAGAATAATAGGGGTGCCAGAAGATGAGAGACAGCAAGATATTGAAAACCTATTTGAAGAAATAATGGCAGAAAACTTCCCCCACCTGGTGAAAGAAATGGACTTACAGGTCCAAGAAGCGCAGAGAACCCCAAACAAAAGGAATCCAAAGAGGACCACACCAAGACACATCATAATTAAAATGCCAAGAGCAAAAGACAAAGAGAGAATCTTAAAAGCAGCAAGAGAAAGAGACTCAATTACCTACAAGGGAATACCCATACGACTGTCAGCTGATTTCTCAACAGAAACTTGGCAGGCCAGAAGGGAATGGCAAGAAATATTCAAAGTGATGAATACCAAGAACCTACAACCAAGATTACTTTATCCAGCAAAGCTATCATTCAGAATTGAAGGTCAGATAAAGAGCTTCACAGATAAGGAAAAGCTAAAGGAGTTCATCACCACTAAACCAGTATTATACGAAATGCTGAAAGGTATCCTTTAAGAAGAGGAAGAAGAAAAAGGTAAAGATACAAATTGTGAACAACAAACATGCATCTATCAACAAGTGAATCTAAGAATCAAGTGAATAAATAATCTGATGTACAGAATGAACTGGTGATTATAATGAATCAGGGACATAGAAAGGGAATGGACTGACTATTCTTGGGGGGGAAAGGGGAATGGGAGATGCGGGAAGAAACTGGACAAAAATCGTGCACCTATGGATGAGGACAGTGGGTGGGGAGTGAGGGCGGAGGGTGGGGCGGGAACTGGGAGGAGGGGAGTTATGGGGGAAAAAAAAAAGAGGAACAAA